TGAGACAGGAATGGGTTCCATGGGATGGGTTGCCCCTGTCGTATCCGCTTTCATTAGTTGACAACGCTTACAGGACACCACATAATCTATCACCTCACTTCTCATCCCGGGCCAATAGGCCCTCTGCCGAAGTAGGCCGTATGTCTTGGTACACCCTGTATGTGCCATCTCATGGCAATGAACGATGAGGTTCCGTCTCAAGACGCGAGGTATCACGGGCAGCACCACATCTAAATCAGTGGCGTTCCAGGAAATTATCCCAGCTTCATTCAGCCTCAGCCTCTACGAACAACACATACTACTCGCGTGCCTCCCAATCAGTAGTATTACCGTTACACTGGTAGTAGGAATTTTCCATTAATCATTGTCCTGGTCAGTTCTTGTTTTGAAACTGCACAATACCTCGTCTGAGTCAGAAGAACTAGCAAGACTGTAGCTCAGCTGAGGACAGTAAACGTGAATAGAGTACTATAGATAATGCCACGATATAAAGTCTACGACAACAGACCAGCCACCGAATTCATGGACCAGACCACAAGCTGCACAAAAATGACTAGTGCTGGAAACTCGACTGAGTCAGTGTACACCGAACTACGTGGGTAAATGATACTTCCCAGTTTCCCAGACCGAGGAAGGGGGTTTGACTGAGGTACCCCACCTTGAGCCTCTGACTAATAAATCTGACCCAAAAGGCAGCGGACAGTAGGGTTCTCCTTTAAAACCCTTCCCGGAGCCGATGATCCAACAGTCTGACCTGCTCAGCTGCAAGGGGTTGGCCTAACCTGAGGGCGCAGGAAATAAGGTATTACTGTCTCATTCCTGATGCGGCTGCGCACAGCAGGTGCCCTTTGAGCAGCAACGGGCTCTTTGGCTTTAAAAGTATTTCGACGGTATTGGATAATGCGCCGGCGGTCACGGTCAACCGTTGGGCGATCGGAGTGTGCGGTTTTTGGGGCCGACCTTTTCTAACCCGTCCTTCCTCGGGGGAAGGCTGCTTCCATAAATATGGACATGCTGGTCGCCTGGGGGAAACAACTTACTGCCTTCACACTCCTGTCGCAGAGGACAGTACGACTTTACCTCCAGACGGCCTCGTAGCACGATTACTCGTAGTACGGGGTCTCGCTGCTTTTGGTCTGGCTTCTCCCCTTTGGCCTTCCTGGCATGGTTGCACCTTGTGGAACGAAGTTCCAGCCAGTGTAGCCCGCAAGTTCATTGCAGCACTCAAGGCCAACCACCACGTCAAGGTGTCAGCTTTAGGTCGGACTGACTGAGTACGTCGTGTTGATTTTCTTTTGTATGCTGCACAGTTCAAAGGCTGCCTCCGGATCTTATTTTCGATTCCGTTTTAATATACTCAGTGTGAACCGATTCCCAAAAGTCCGCGGACTGTTCATTACCGGCTTTGATCTATGTGGTACTTGTCACGTAGGGAATCTGAAGTAATCAGTTCCCGGTAGGATGAAAGTACAGTTTTGAGCACACGTGTGTGTCGAACATCACTATCGACTATAGTGCGGAAAAATATCGACGGGGTACTAAATATCTGGAGCTCCATCAAATCCGCAAGCCCAGTAAGATCGGTATGCACACAAAAGTGGACTTTCAAATAAATTTGGATTTCAGTCTCCCATATTCCGTTGATTACCCCTACCTCATGAGGCTTGCATACGTCAGTAAAAGGTGATGGAGTGCCTGTGGATTATGTGCCACTGCTCAGGAGGAAACAAAATTTGATGAATCACATCTCAAAGCAGCACGTGTGCGGCGTAACATGCGGAAGAATAACAATATGGTACCGGATATTAAGGAGTCTGTCCAGCTTGTGGTTCCAGAAATTTTAACATACACGTGAGGCGGAAATTGTGTTCAGATAATTAGTAGAAGCTAGTCACTTTCAAGGCGATCCACCAGGAGAGTCTGCCCGTGAAGTAGAACATGTGTGTAAATATTAAGTAACTGAATAACTTTTCAGTAGCGAAGGGTTAAATAGGCCGTTTTAGACTTATCCGAACGTGGGCTTTAATGAGTCTTCCTCATTCGGAAGAGGTCACTGACAAATCTCACCGAATGACCACTAACTGAAAATGCATGGATCAGCAAGCAAGCGCGGAAAAATAACATTGGCCTAGATATCTCACCTTCGCTAAACGCTTCCAGTGCGTCTGGTACATGGAAGAACAGGTGTACCAAGAGTTTCAGCGCGAATCTCGCGGCCTGTGTAAAACCAGAGTGGGAATGTTACATAAATAGCGACACTTGCTGTATTTGTATTCGAAGAGAGAAGCAAAGCCAAATTAGTTGAAATAAAGTTAAATGTAGAATGGTGAATTAGGGCAAAAGATAAATCCAAGTAAAAACCCCACGTTGTAACTTGAGTATGATGTTAGAGGGCTTGATTGAGCTGGTTGAAAGCCACGGCGTCTGGATTAAAAACGTGAACAGTATTGGTGATAAATGGTCACAAAAACGGAAAACAACATGAAAGCTCCGTCCAGTTGTTGGAACGTTTCAAATTGAAGTGATCTGAGCGGTGAAAAGCTTGAACTTCAAAACTTTGATGCATTTTGGCCAAACGCTGAAATTCTGATTGTACCCAAATAGACATACTACAAAATCACTCACGCAGACGTTGAGCTTTGGGATCATTTCGGCGCTTAGCTGCTGTGCAACTCGGGAAGAGGTATGAGGGTTGAGATAGTGTCAGGTTGCCCAAACCTACGCAGGAGTGATCGAGAGACAGAGCAGGGTTCGAACCACGGACCATCCAGTTGATAGTTCTGCGCTTGAAGCGCAGGCTTACTTCGATCCATACACACATACGGCAGACACTGACTAGACGGTTTAGAACTATCGAGTTAGTAGATGGCATGACTCATTCTCAGGTTGGTCTAAATCTGCTAGCGTGAACTTAGCAATTCACCGCAGATCAAACTGACATAGAATTACAAAAAAACCTAATCCAGAAAGAGCCATATATTTTGCTGACAACGATGAAACACAGTGTCAAAGGATTGAAGCAACGCACCCAGTTGAAACCTGACGCATATCTCTACCCTGCAACCCTGACGTTTCACTAGAGATGTCGCACGATGTGAATGTGAATGGGAGTCAATGGCTTCAGTCTTCTGCCATACCGTCTAAATGAAACGGAACATTTTCAGTGCGCTCCTAAGAAGGGCGTTTTTGTGGTAAAATAGTACGATAGCGTCTAGAGAAGGCACTAACAAAAATCATGTTGCTGAATGGCTTCACCTCGATGCATATAAGTGTTATATATATATATATATATATATATATATATATATATATATATATATATATATATATATATATATATATATATATATATATATATATATATATATATATATATATATATATATATATATATATATATATATATATATATATATATATATATATATATATATATATATATATATATATATATATATATATATATATATATATATATATATATATATATATATATATATAACCTCCAGGTAAGTGGCACCCAACCGACACCCCAAAGCAACCTAATCGTATCGGAGTGGCTCACCTTGGAGTTAAGTCAATTCACCACTGACTGTAACGGGTGTAAAAAAAATCCAACACCTCTTTCAAACATACTGTATGTGCTTCTGTCTATCAACAACCCATGATAATTTTTCGAAACCAACACGAATCTGGCCACTGAATATCGATGCCATTAACATCCAAATATGCATAAAGTTGAGCAGGTGTCGTGTCCGGTGAAGCAAAAATCTATTCAGGGGACAGTTCGTAAGAAGCAAGAAGGCCGAAATATTCTTGAGCTCATTGAATCTGAACACCAGCGGACTCCAGCTGCGAATGTTTTGACGTTGATTTGCCACTTAATCTACCCACGATCTCGAGCGCGTCAAAAATGTGGCGGAGCCCTGGAAATTTGTAATTATCGAATGAGATCTGAACGTTAAAAACTGATGCCCTATAACGTGAAAAAATTTTAGTTTGAGATTGTTTGCTTGATCGGTAGTTAAACTTTGGGATAGTTTTTTCAAAGAGTTAAAGGTTGGTCAGATCGTTTACCTAAGTTAGTCTGAACATAGACACCCATTAGAGCGGGAAAGCTTCGGGCGCTCGGGATGCAGAACCGGCTAGGCGCAAACCGAAACAGATGGAAATACCTTCATAAACGGACTAATACACTGCTTTCATTGCATGAAGGTAAGTAGTGGAAACAATGGGAAAAGGGAGAATACGGTAATTTAAGGAACAAACCAGTTGGTTTGCCGGATCGATTGCACGAATGCAGGCAACACGGTTCACAGGCGTTTTGCAACCGGTGGGAGTTAATCCCAAGGTGCACGTTTTAGGGTGATCACACACCGCTGTCAAAATCACGTGATGACAAAGCCGAACAGCATCACAACGACGTAAACACCCAACCAGTTGACGGTCAGTTGCCAAGAGAGATAGTAGCTGCATCAAGTAGCACCGAGATTTCCCTGTGAGTCGTTGAGCGGAAGACGAAACCGTTGGTGACTGCAGTCCCGGCCAGCAGAGGGTAATCAATCTGCGTATGACATTATCTGTGAACAAGCGCTGCAAAGAGAACAGGTGTGGTATCATAAAAAGAAAGTTTGCATCCGCAGAAATATTAGAAAATTGATAAGAATACCCAACAGTGTGATCTTTTTTCAAGTTAAACAGTAGGCAATTCGGAAAGTTTCATCTGCAAACCACCCACAATCTAGCGGTCCACAACAGATAAGTACTCTGGAATTTAGAAAAGAGCCGTATCCATTTCCCACGCAATCTGGTGGTTGGACAAACGTTCTGTTTTGTCACGTGAATGCGGGTGGTTGAAAAACAACTAATGTGCCTTCCACGAGATTAGAGAGTGCTGTTGACGAACTAGTGCGCATCCTTAAAAGTCAGCTAGGACCAAATAGGTGCAGTTTCGTCTCCCTGGAATGCTACCTTCCGAAGCGACGGAAATAATTACAGTGGGAAAACGGCCCACTGAGTGGACACTGCGCAGTCAACAGGACCCATAACGAGGGAAGTCCGAAGTTCTCGACCCTCTCCAATTCAGTTTAAAGTCCATGACATGAGTTGTAATGTGTCCACGTGGCTTTGGAAGGCACTCACAAGTGTCCTTCCACAATACGACCAACTTTAATACGAACACGCTCAGCTGGGATTTCCGAAGTTGTAACGAAGAGGAACTGCTACGACTATATGGTCCAGGAACAATGACCTACATGACCTTTCATGTACAGTGAACAGCTAACGAGTCAATTCAATAAATCATCGCGTGGTTCTGCTAAAAAGAACGGAATCTGTAGTGGGTACTCAGAAGGAGCTACAGGCTCACAAGCAAGGCTTGCATGAAAAGCACTAATTTTGGACAAAAAAAAACATCTGGCATGCAGACTTGTTGGTGACACACTAGGAATTGTTTATTTTAAAAGAGTGACGATTCCAAATATAGTTATGAGATGGAAAATGATGGACAGCTACAAAGTTTCAGGCTAGCTACCTCAATCAACCCATTACGCCCTCAAACACTCAAAAGGGTGATGCGACCCAGGAAATACACGGGCGGATTTTCAAACTCACTAGAGCAGCGGCGTGTCTGGATTTGATCTGAGTGGTCTGAGACAGAACGGAACTCAACTCCTCGGCTCCGAAAAGACTGCGCAACAAAAGGAGGCAGGATTCTTGCAAAAGAGCATCCGTATCCGAGTGCAGTATGACTGAAGGGGAGAATATGAACAAGCAGATTATTAGGATGGGATGTTTCCAGAAGCTTTTTGGAATTTTCCGGAGATAACGACAATAAAGAGAGTGCTCGAGGAGCCAATCCAAAAGTATGACAATGTGATGGGGCTTTTACCTTATGGAACGGCGCCACATCCTGCCTAAATGAGAGCTAATCACACTGCTGATCAGCTGTTCGTGGCTGGACGGTTAAGTGTTCAAACTGCGGGTATCAGGCTTATTGGAGCTGCGTACGTTGCACACTGTTGATGACTGTCAATGAGAATGAAACAGCTAAACAGTGTTTCTCGGATTCTCAGCATAGATTGACTTTATTTTCCGGACGAAATCTCCACTAAGATGTCAGACACGGTTGGGACCTGGATTGTACGAAGAATCACAACGAACGGTAATAGCTACGAAGTACCGAGGGAGTTGAAATAGCTTCCTAAAGCCCAAATATGGAAGAAGCTTACAACGAAATGGAGTTGCTGCTGAGAGTCGGGAGAAGTAGTTGTTGAGGAACGTAATGCTCAGGATCTCGTGAAGTAAAAGAGTAACGTGTCACAACAAGGCTGTACAATAACTCATCGTGGGGAGGAGACAGTTAGCTCACAGTAACAACAAAATTCCTGGGTAGTCAGTCGGACATCTGAACGTTTTTTAACGCATCTAGATGACATGTTACGGAAGAAAGTCTGAGGCCGGCAGCGCATCACTTAGAGCGGTGTTGCTTCAAGGATATAAAACCTCGTCTTTTCGAGTGAGAGATATCTAACGACTACCTGATTACGTGCGTTTGATGGCAGAAATATGTTTGCAATGTACAAGTGCGACTACATGTCTTACGAGATGATAAGAAGTCAGATCTGACGGAAGTGATCGCTGGCTTGGACATGTTCTGGGAATGAGAATCAAACGGCTCCTCCCAATGAGCAGTTTACTTTTCCGATGCCAGGAATACTCGACTATCATCAGCTGGAACGGGCGGTTGGGAGATAGCTTAGGACTATAACCTTTATCAGATAAGGCCCAAGACTGAAATCAATGGCGACTCTGCTGTTCATTTTTGCTCCCAACAGGCTTTATCTTTGTCTTTGCACGCCACACCAGTAGTACAAATTTACTGCTTGGCTCAATGACTCTTCTATGCCAAATGAATAGTAAACACGTATGCATACACAACCAAACAGTAACATTAATACGGCACATCGTGGGAGATGCTTATGACTGGTAAGACGTACAGGCTGGAAAGATACACTTGCTACAACAATCGGTAGTAAGATAAGTGTCGTTGCGTTCTTGTCATACGTCAAACGGACCTAAAGCCTGAGGGGCGACTACGGTGTCCGCATCCATCCTCGAAGATCTATCATGATGTGCCCAGCACAGTAGTTAATCAATCTTCATTTCAAATCATTGCATAGAAGGTCGTCCTTCTTATGCTAAAAGAATTAAAACGAATTATTCACCTTAGAAAACAACTGAGCACGCGCAATGATTAAAGTTGGGCAACAACCCAAGTCTGGCGACAGCAGATTTATACTACATAAAATTACCTTCAATCAGCTGCACCAAAATATCTGAACGGGTCAGGATGTTCTCCGAAAGGGCCGAACAATCACGGACAATGCTATTGATCAGGCCACACAAATCCACACACACATTTGAGTCCTTTTCAGACCACCACCGATTTCGATCAAGCAGTTGTAACAATCTGAAAAAAAACGAGAGAACGTTTTTACAAAATCGTCTCCTTAACGCGCATCCCTCTAGAAGAGATAACTCTTCATCCATAGCATTGCTCTTGATTCACATACCTTTCAAGGACAAACAGCAGTAGGACTCGAAGGCTACATCATAAAGCCATGAAGCATATCCCTTAGCGATGAAAATGGATCGGTCGGGGTGGATGTGACAATATTAGGGAAATGGTGTTAAGGGGACGAAACTAACTGACATTGTTGTGCTCAGTTTGTTTAACCCGTTTCAAGGGACAGTGAGCATGTCATGGTAGCCTAATGGATTGAGTACTTAAATCCCCAATCACTAGAAGTTAGTAGTCCGTGGCTCGAATCCAAGTATACATAGTGCTTATGAACCCGTGTGATGGTTAAACAGCTGTCCACACCGGTGTTCATCATAGCGACTGTACTGTCTGTCAAATGAGAAACCGGTTGCGGTAGAACGATATAATGCACACAAGGCAGGGGTGTTGCAACAGCAAGACAAAGTGGATGGAAAACCAGCTAAATACCCTTGTTTGTAAAACAGTTCGCTTTCGAAGGGAAACTCAACTGAATGCAGCTGAATCTCTCGCTTTTGACGTTCTTTTACTGACTAGGCTGCACAATTTCACCCCATGTTTCTGATGAGCCCCTAAGATGGCGAAACCATTCATGGAGTGAAAAGTGCTCTGCAATCGGGTGAGTAGTGTGATAAGCTTAGATTGAAAATTACTAAGATTAAGCAGAGGTGGATGAATGAAGGCCGTCACTGTTCAAAAGAGTGAACAGGTTAGGTATTGCCTAACGGAATCGCGAGCGGAATGTTTCACGCACACGCTGCGGCAAAGAGAGACGAGTAAAAACATGTCACGTTTACACATGTGACCGAATAGCAGTTGATTTTATGTGAAGCAGCATGGTAAAACTTTATGGAACCGGTCCAGTAATCTTATCAAAGGGGGCGGGTGATCGATGTAAACAGACTTTCACGTCGAAAAAGGTTCAGTACGTCATGTCAGCAACGACCTAGAATGTACCGGTCCGGTGCTTAATACGCCCACGGTTTTCTTCTGCCTGCTGTGAAAAAACTCATCAACTCAGTTAGACCTGTTCGATCAAACATGACTTGATATAGTGGGAATGCTAATAGCTAGATTTCTGAATAACTGGTGAGAGTATGTAGCCAGATAACGGACAAGCACTCTGAACAACACGGCCGTCGAGGTGATTGCCCTTGTTAGGATAATGGTGTCGTTGTGATAGGCTAACATCCGAAATTCGCCACATCCTAGCCACATATGAAGTAAACTATAGAGGTAGAAAAGCTGGTATCGGTGTTGCTGCCCGCTGCGCGAAGGATGCACACATTCCGCATCAAGAAGTATTGCCAGGCGAGGTTTCAGAACCACACCAATATGGGTAGAAGACAGTTGACAGGAAAAGTTGGAGATTCTACGCAGTAGATACTCCGGTGGATTTGGTAATGCGGTATTCCAGACCCTGTACTGAGCCTCAACAGGCCCCAGAAACATGTCACGATGATACGGCAACAGTGTCCGGGATGGTCCGATTGGGCCGTTGTCTCCTGAGCCATCCGGTCTCATGTAAATGGCAAGATCCAGGTCATTCGAATGGCATCCATAGGAGTTCCGAACCTAGCTTCCTGTAGAAGACTCGTTACAAAAAATATTATCCATGACAGCGTTCGAATTCAGGAATAACGCCCACGTTATTGCTACTGCTACGTCAAGCGTACAGCATGTGGTTTTATGCAGTGTAGACAAAAATAGAAAACAACCAGTTGTGGCTGTATCAAACGAAAAGTGGACTGGTTATTGTCTATCACCAGCAGTATTCTTAAACACCGGCAGGGGTACCCAAGTGATACTAGCTGTGTACGCGCAACACGTGGTTTAAGCTATTTGAAGCTATTTGCACGTGACGTGGCTGCTAGTGAATCACGTGACGGCTAGCAATGCCCAGATGTATGAAGTCTTAAGTAGTTCGATGTGCTGTAAAAAAGCGGATTTAACACCACAGCATGTGACAGAGTGAAGAACGCAGTACGCCGAGGTTGAAAAATGCACGTCATCGGCGAAAGATATTTTTTTCTAAGTAAACGAGAAATTCTCCCCGAGAGTTTAGTTAGAAGAAACGAAGGGATACGACACAAGATGTAGAATAATGGATCGTCATACGAGTTTACTAGAAGGCAGCCTGGAGACCGTGAAAAATGGTTGTCAATAACGTGCTGAAGTGTGTTTTGCGCGAAGGCGATGTGATACTGATGTGGCCATCCTGAGCACACAGTGGTCTCAACAAGCTGCATCGAACGTCGCACTCAGATTAAATAGTTTCACATATCTACAAGTAGTGTGGTGTGAAATCCGATTAGTGCACCCAACTGACAACACAAGTGATTCTGCGGAAACAATCGCATTCCAAACACTATCCTCCTGTCCTGACGAAATTATTCGGGTGAGTCCACGCCAAAGAAGGGAAGACCAGAACGCGAGTTTCACTCTCATTAGAGTTCCTCAGCACAACGTATCCTTGATCCTTGAACATATTCCTGAGCAGCTGATACGATAGGCAAGCGTAGTACTACACTATCACGGAACACTGTACGCACCTGAGTTATCAAATCTGGGCAAACGAAAGTGTTCAACGCTTGAGTGATGTGATTGTTCTAGCCGACGCGTCGAGTGACCATACACTAACTATACTTACTGACTTCTACAAATACATTTACACAGAACCGGCTTTGACAGAAGGCTTCGCTGAATCTAGCTAAATCTCTTGTTTATAGTCAGCCGTATTACGACTAGCAACTATAGTGGTTTTGCCGATCAACAGACTTGCCTACTAGGGTTTCCCATTCAGGCAACGTCACGGACTAGTGAAACCTGATAAGCGATTTTTTATTAGTTGACAGATTTAGGGAATTTGTAGCTTCTACATTTGTGGAATTTACATTCACCCCTCTTAGTTGAACAGATCTCCCTTAGAATTTCTCTAACAGCCTTCCAACGCTTGATGAAGACACTCTTACGCGACCCCATTCCAAAGCTTTATTTGTCGTTACCGACCGCCGGGAGAACGGGACAGTCGAGGATTGAAATGGGTAAACGGTACTCAGCTTCGAAAGTGGTATGATACACCCGAAGAGCTGTCGAATAGACCAGCTACTGGTGCCGACCTAACGGAGGCTAGTGGAAATCGGTGGCATGCACGCGACGTTTGAAGGGGAAAGGTGCATAACGGCAGATCCTACTAAAGAGGCATGCGAGTAGTCTGTGGTCTTGTCAAAGCTCCACCCCACGTCTAATAAGAGGGAAATTTATTACGGAACTTGTGGAACTGCTTCGCAGTGTTCCTTTAAAATGGAGTGATAATCAGTTGATGTCCATGAAAGTTCCAGAAGACGCGTGAGAATGTTCAGCTTTTAAAAAATAGGTTTGTAACCGATTAGTTGGTGTTTTCTGATAAGCGATATCGCGGCGAGACTTTGTTCCTTTCAACAGAAGACCGAAGCCCTGTTGAGGAGGCCAGTGTGCAGCCATGCTGCCTGCTTGAGCCGCGATGCTCACAACGTACAAAATACGGACTCGCTCCATTGGTAACAAATTCACGCAACAGATCAAATAAAGCTGAAGTTGTCACGAAGGGGCAGACCTTCAAGTGAAAAAACGACAGAAAGGCTACAAGTTATGGGATCAACTGACCATCTCATATGGACCAACACAGACATCCAAACCAGCCGTTTTGCGAACAGATATATGACACTCAGTGATGGAGCAAGGTGGACGCATGGAAGTTGGTACGAAAGGTCAAGGGGAAAGGCCAAATCAAATGGAAAAACAGCCGAAATGACATAACTATATATGGACCGCAAAACAAGCAAGTCAACTTACCGAGGTCGAATGATATCACTATTCCCAATCACACACTTGTTCATTGCACTACCAACAGCGAATTGGCGGAGCAACCTGAAGAACGGTTAAAGGCGGATAAATACGGTGCACCTAACGGTGGGGCACACATCACAAATGGCACCAAATCAAGATATACAGTCGTATGCCGAGTTTTTTCTTCGCATTTAGATGCCGACCACAACTGCTTCGTGGTTTTTGGCATTGGATTTTACCGGATTACATACATTATAGTCGTTCTTTTCTAGAGAGGTCATTTGAAGGGACAGACAACAAGTGGTCTCCTCTGGGAAGGGCACCACTATTAAAATACGCTTCGATCGTTTTAGCAAAATCCATTACTTCCGAGTAGTATTCATAAGGTAAGGTAAGTAAGTCCAAAAAAATGGTCTCACAAGAACCGCGAGCTAATTTGTTGCCACCTGAGCGAACGAAAACACAAAGCAAAATCTTACGACTGATGACTGGAAGTTGTTTTTTTTAGCAATATGAGCCTGTTAATCTGGCAGGATAACTCGCCCTGATGTACGTTCCAACGCACTGACTCGTTAGGATGTCCTTAATAGTAGAATCCTTTAACACTAGAACAGAAATGGATCCCGATTTTCTTTGCATTCTCAAGAGAACCTCATTTTGCGAAAGGCAACTATATTGCAGAAAAATGATTCGCTCGGCAACGAGACAATTGCTATCGAAAGCACAGAGCTCCCATTCAGATGGACTGGAAGCTACTGAGAGGAACCTAATCCAAAAACAGTACGCGAACATTGTGAAAACTATCGTGGCATTAACGTGGTAGCTGTGGGATGGAAAGCGCACTCTGGTTTTAGTCTTCGAAGGTTAAGTGAACACACAGAGGGGCAAATACGTGAAAATCAAGCTGGGTTCTGTCCTGTATCAATCATATTTTCACCCTATGACAGATTCTGGAACAGCCACACTGTTTCCATAGACCAGCAATGGTCTTCCTTGACTTGAAATCTGTCCTCGACTGTGCTGACCGTCAGGCACTATGGTGTTTCCCGCATAAACCCTTAACTCATCCTGAGGTCCTGTACGCCAAATACTGTGGATGCGTGTGTCTATGAGAAGCTCTCACCTGAGTTCACTCCATTGCCATTCGTCTTCAACATTACCACTGGAATGATAATGGAAGGCTCTCCAAACCTGTGAGACCTGTAAGGTGAGAATGCTTACACATATGAAACAGCTCTTCTAGGATCTGCTGACGTCATAATGCAGGCGTTAGATGACCCAAATATACGAAGTACGAGTGAATCTACCAAAATGCATATGAGGTAAGGAGGGTAGTGGAGCGAGTAACCAAATGTAGGTAACAAACATAAAAAACTAACTTGATGGACTGAAGAACTTCAGACGCATCACCAGAAATAAGACCAGACTGGACGGATTGTTCCAAACGTTCAACTACATCGTTCCAAAGCGAACCAACTCCAGTGGTCTTTTTGCTATCCGAAAGTTTCAACGGCGCTGTACTTTCGCCGTGAGATGTGAATTCATCACAACGCTTCTCTACGGCGAGTGGCTGCAAGGTGAAAGTAAATTGACAAGCATATTCGCCTCGACAGAGGAACTAAAACGTTAAGGTGATCTACTGGGCAACACCGCTCAGCATAGCATCCCTAGTAATTATGTAGCTCTTTGGCGTGGCAACGATGCGGAATAAGGAATAGTCGAAGAAAGGTTTAAGAGCACAACACAAAGTAAGAATCAGATTTTCATTATTCTACATTTCAGACAGAATGGGTAATCTACATCAGGAACTAGGTAAATACACTGAACAGTGCAGAGCCAACTAACTGATGCCCAGGGTCCATAGCAGCTATCTGTTTATAGAATTGACCCAGACAGGTACACAGTGAGCTGCAGCTGACCATCTGCTCAGTGATTTCGATAAATCTGACCACAGACTGGAAAGAACCTGGTCATGATCACACTGTAACTAACTGTGACACGTATCGACGGTTGATGGGGCAGAACGTGGCAACAGAACAGAGGGCACGTCATCCTACGGTAACACACACAGGACAACGACCGGGTTCTCAGTCAAGTTGTGAAGCGCTAGTGTCTTTCGAGAAATCCACTCAGTTGCAAATCAATTCGGTTTTCATGAGAAACTCAGATGAATCTCTCGTTTATGATATTCTACAACTGAATGGGCTGCACATAGACCGCCTCATGATTCAGTTGGCACGATATCCGAGATGTTGCAGTATATTTTCATAAAAAAACTACTCACAAGTTTGCTGAATATTACAAACGGGAGATTCAGTTGAGTCTCTCATGAAAACCAAATTGATTTGCAAATGAGTGTATTTTTCGAAAACAGTCCAATTTGGGTTCAAGTAAGACATAAGGTTGACGGGAACTCAGGAACTGTGCCTTACTGATGAGCCCCAGGAAGGGCGTGGGCTCTAGTGTCTTTATTTACTGATAAACGACACATCGTAATCTGCCCCAACACACTTTGTGGACGGAGCATGAGACCTCTCAATCAATCGGGATTCATACGGCGGTTGTAAGAATACGGTGAAAAATAAGACCCATGACCAGTTTTTACATCAACCGAGCAGGTAGCGAACACTTCTTCGTAACGTCCAAAATCTCATTGATCAACCCAAGGGGTCCCTCGACTTCTCTAAACCGAAGCAACAACGTTTGTAAATTTCGCAATCGACGAGATAATGAAAACAATGCTGGAAGGTCTTCAAAAACCTTGGTGTTTAAATAGCTTCTGACTAAAACTTTATCGGTATGGAATATGCGGACGACATTGCCCTTATCTTGGAAAAGAAGGCACAGGGCTTTTCGGATGAACTGACCAAAGTCATCCTGGAAGTTGTATTCGTCCTGATTGTAGTGTGATAGGTGAGATCAATGCACGAATCTGCAATGCTCGGGTCGCGTTTGCTAATTTGAAACGCCTACAGCGTTAAACCGGTATACACCTGAACCTCAGGGGACGTGCGTCAGGCTACAATGTATGACTGAGAATTGGCTTGTTCGAGTAGCGGGAGAGATATCTTCAGGTGTTCGATAACCATTGTCTCAAAACCATAGTTCGTGTGGATTGGTGTCGGCGAATCCGTAACGAGTCAATTAGAGTGTGAGTTTTCAGTTGTGCAACTGGGACTTACATTGAAGAATGTGTCCAGCGCCAGAAGCTGCGTTGGTTAGGTCATGTACTGCACATGCCGAACCATCGTTTGCTGGAAACAGAGCTGTTTCTCATGCCCAATTCAGAGCGGCAGAGGCAGCGCGGTGGCCAGCCCTTGATCTAGCAGGGGGTTTTGAGAGATTACGAAACTATCGGGGGCTGTCGGTGCTGCTTGACTTCCAGGATGGAGACCATGTGCTCCCCACTGCGCCTGGCTGGAGACGCCACGTGATATGACTGCTAACCGATGCCAGTGGCGTTCTTGTTGTTGGTTTCCATCCAGATTAGCTGAATGTCTGGAAGATATGACTGCTAACCGATGCCAGTGGCGTTCTTGTTGTTGGTTTCCATCCAGATTAGCTGAATGAGTGTCTGGAAGTGTAGGCACCTCAAAAAGACCATAACAAGCCGGAACTAGGTCGCTTTCCGTTCACTTTTATTCTTTTCATCAAAATAAGGCTTTGGAATAAACTATGGTTGTACGGTAGCAAAGCATTGGCGTCGAACACTGATGTTATGCTGTCGATGATGAAGGTGTTGATGGAAGTAGAGATGAAATTGTGGTTTGAAAACGGACGACGCAGATGAGGACCTGGAACTGCGCCACTCCTTTCGACGACCAACAATTGTCCTCTTTCTCGATCTCTTTGGACTCACCTGGTGACCGGAAACTGTGCAGGGACCAGCGATGAAGGGTGTTCCCTCTAAATCCTTGTCTCTTATTAGAGCTATATATGCCTCCTACTGTGGACGTGTCTACAGGAATTCCTCCCCTGAGCTCCCACATCCAGAGGTGACAGTAGTCTAGAATGTCTACTGTCACCCCTTCTCTTGGAACTCGTAATTGATATGCTGCTTGAGTCATTTTTACCTGCCTCTGACACCTCGAGGATCGAAATGCTCCGGGAGCATTTACTCAGTACAACGACGGTGCTGCTCTACTTGGGTCAAACCCTCTGGGAAAGCAAACTAATTAAAGAAGCCTAAATAAGTTAATTAAATAAATAAATAAATAAATAAATAAATAAATAAATAAATAAATAAATAAATAAATAAATAAATAAATAAATAAATAAATAAATAAATAAATAAATAAATAAATAAATAAATAAATAAATAAATAAATAAATAAATAAATAAATAAATAAATAAATAAATAAATAAATAAATAAATAAATAAATAAATAAATAAATAAATAAATAAATAAATAAATAAATAAATAAATAAATAAATAAATAAATAATGCATGGTTCTGTGCAAGCTTTGCACCCGTAAAGTTTAAAGTGATACCGCAAAATTTGATGGAATGAAACTCAACTCCAATCCATGCAGGTGGACCGATCGATGTGGTAGATAGACTCGTTTACTCGGGAAAAGGTGGAGTGGCGAGAGACGAAGCCACTCCCTGAACTAGGAAGACAGTAGTTTGCTAATTTACGACACCTATGACACCGAAGTGCTGTCTGCCAAAAACAGGATGTATAACACCGTGGTCCGATTTCTCCAGCCCTATGGGTCGGAGACGTGGCAATTAAGCGTGGAAGGCCCTGGAAGGATCCTTGTGTTTCTACCATCGGTGCCTCCTATAAGAACATCAGATCAATAAAGTTCAGGTACATCAGATGGCTTGCAAGAAAATTCACTCGCTCTAGAAATATTGGCTGGTAACTCCTCACAATTTAAACATATTAGACCATATGTTTCGTGTGTGGGAGAGCTGTTTATCTCGTAATAACATCTTCGCACAGCCTTGGATGGAGATGACCCAGAGGCGGTTAATCTACGACTCAGAAGCGAAGCATGACAGCCCATACAAGTTAACTGAGTCGCGTTGGTAACTACGGTCACTCCGTATAGGGATAGCGGGACAAGACAAACTAACGGTCAGTGACTTTGACAGATATGGCTGTCACGCAGCCAATAGTGCTTCTGCACCAAAGCTGCGTCGCTTTCACGTCCTGCTATAGTGGACAAACAGATCCGTTGATCGTCAGTGCACAACGCATGTATCTGATTACTTTCTCGTCGGTGGACGGAGCTGTAGCAGCTGGAACCTTGTGCAACCTGGCAGTATCCCAGCCCTCGTGCTTTCTTCGGGTGACACGACAGATAGGCACCGGCTGTTACAGCTGAACGGTTTTTATTCTTATTTTTGTGTACAGGCTGACTGCCAGCTCATCCGCCACCAGCACAGTTAACTAAATGTAAATCGGGCCTTCAGGTACAGTCTGTTGGTTTTATGGCTTCGGTCTTCGGAGTTGAGAATGACGAATTCACCCTCAACTGGACCGACAGCTTTTGACAGAGTGGAGTTGAAGGCCGGTAGTTCCGAGATTTCAAGGAAAAAGGTCAACTGCGATTTATTTTCACGGCGGCTTCCTTGAAAAGTATGGAGGTTAGTTCTCTAGTGGAAAACTGACCAGTGGTTGTAGGACATTTATGGATAATCCACCGGTTTGTTTGTTTGTTCCAACACACTCGACCGAGGCCATCTGGAAAGTCGGGAAGCGATCCCACATATACGGATTGTACCATGCTTACAAGGCTTGCTTCAACGGAAGTTTAACTGTTATTGGCAGTCAGTGGGTATGGCACGGATGAGTAGAAGCAAGAATTTGGAGTAAAAGTTGATTGAACCAATACGCCTCTAGCTAAGCAAGGACTCACAGATGCGATCGTACTGGTCAAAAGTTTGGGATCAGTTTTATCACCATCGGTGAACGAAACTGTGGCAGCTACAACCACTTTACGACGACTACGCGGTTATTACAGATGACAATGATGATGATCATCATCATCGAAGCTAAGCATATTTCACGGGACCCTCTCAAAACCGGCGTGACACCGCTTTTCCGTCTCTAAAGGGTGCTCACTGGATATACGCGTTATTTTCGAAAAAAAAACTTGTGAATAGTAACAGACCGCTTCACGATTTTCCATAGGGTAATTGGAGAGGAGTAGCAAGAAGACCGAAAATTAGCTTGCTGTTCTTTCCTCGTAGCCACTGTGTGGAGATTCGTAACAGGATTCTATAACAACAGCACTAAGGAGCGATTCAGTCAGTTTTGTTCACGCGGCTACTTTGGAAACTCTGACTCTTTATCACTCCGGACTACCTCATGCGCCTGTCCACAGCCTACAGTTATTGCCTGCACCGTCATAGAGCTTGAGTACTCTGCCGCACCCAACAGACCTGACAATGAAAGCACTGTGCACTCGTTCAGTGAAGCTTCTAATACCTGTTTTTGTCCGAACCGCTTCGTCATCTCGGTTCGCATCCCAAAACCTTTACGAAAAATGCCAATTTGTCCTCAGGTACTGAGTAAAAGAAAAATCTGCACTGGTTTTCGCCTTAGGAGCGTGTAGTATACAGCGCCTACCACTATGAATGATTTGGATGTAAGTACTGCTGATGTACAACCATGCTTACTGGGTTTCGACTAATTAGGTTTCCTCCTGTTTCGCGTCCACCACTTTCGGAGAACCACTGCCCAGGGATGCTTACACAGGGTGCATAGTGCAGGTGAGGTACTGGTTTCCTCGTTAGATGGCGTTCTGTTGTCTGTAGAACACAGTACCTCTAAGGTAAGGCCATCTGCTGCAGAAAAGAGTCGGTAGAATTCAACAATTGGTCTATCCGGTCATTCTTGAAAGCCGTGAACCATTATTTCCAGCAAAAGAAATCTCACTCCACGCTTTACGTTCGGTGGACAACTGTTCCATCCACATACGTCACGCTTCGCGGATAGATTTAATCGAGAGTCTGGCCCATGCTTCCGTGTACACCATGGCAAAAAAGTGTAAATCGATAAAGAGTCCGGCGCCCCGTAAATTTGTGCGCATAAGACCGCGAGTTAAATGATACACATTAATTTAATGAGGTGTTGGACATGTTGGAGGATATGTAAATAAATTTGAAGGAGCCAAAATCGAGAGAAATTTCACCCCTTATGTTGGTACTTGGTTTGCTCCTCACACCACTGTAACATGCTAAAAGGAACGACTGATTCGGCCAGTCCTCAATGGAGACGAAGAAAGATTGCTAAAAACGTATTATTGGAGTCATCACGGAATCTCACAAAGCCAAGCCGCGATAGATCGACAGGCGCCGAGCTAAAAACCACTTGGCACCAATTGCACATATTCGGACCAATCAGGACACGGATTCACGGATTCACGGATTGATACACAGGATCGAGGCTTTTGCCCAAGTTTCCCGGGTCGGTTTTGTTCTTGTCGGTCAGTGGCTGTCGTTCACCTGAAAGGCACAAGCGAAAAAAGGGTGTAGCACTTCTCTTTATGTTCTCAGCGCGGAGCAGTATGCTCGCCAGCGCGAGGATTCGCATAAATAAATGTCTAATAGTGCTTTAAATTGGGTTCGAGAAGGAGCGTGTACAACCGTCGGAGGAAGGTCATTCCACGCAGCTACTACCCGAAATGAAAAAAAGTTTTGTCTAACGGATGTGTGTGCCCTGAGCTTGAAGTTTTTCTTACTATGTCCCCGCCGGGTGTTTGCTGGGTCAACGGTAAAAAACCTGTTTGCCAAGCTTTGTTCAAACAGGGCATAGGTAAGAATTAGGTCCCCTCGGAGGCGACGGTAATCCAGGGGAAAGAGATCAAGCATCGCGAGACGCATTTCGTAGTCCACGGACTTGAGGCCGGCAACAATTCTCGTGGCGGCCCGCTGGACACGCTCAATGAGGGTAACGTCTTTCGTACGTCCTGAGTAGACAACTTCGTTGGCGTACTCCAGGAGCGGTCTGACGTAGGCCCCATAGAATATTTGGAAGTCCATGCGAGTAATACCGGAGAAGGTACGTCGGATCATCCGTAAAACGGCGAATGCCTTTTAGGCCGATTTCTCATGGCGTAGTGCGAAGGACAAGTTTGAGGAGACCCAGATGCCTAAATCATTTTTGGCATCTATCCTCATGATGTTTTCTGGTCCCTTTTCACCATGCATAACAAAGGCATACGCTGAATCCCCTCCAAACGACACATGGACGCACTTTTCATCATTCAGAGGAAAGTGCCAGTCCAACGACCACTGCTTGGCAGCGTCTACATCCATTTGGAGGGCACTGGCATTGGAACTCCAGGATTTCAAGTCATCCGCAAAAAGTAAACATGGACTCGCAAGAACGTCCGTGAGGTCGTTCACGTAGATCAGAAACAGGAGTGGTCCCAAGACGGAGCCTTGAGGAACTCCAATGGAGAACGGCGCTGGAGAAGAGTATTTCAAGCCTATTCTCACTCGGAATGATTTGTCTGATAGGAACGCCTTGATCCAGCGAAGGATTTTCCCTTGAATCCCGTAAGACTCGAGTTTGTGGCATCATGAGGATAGATGCCAAAAAAGATTTAGGCATCTTTCACCCGAAGCCAGTTTATCGCGTGGCTTATCAGCGGCTCGGATAACTTTACCTATCCCTTGATCATCATTCCCATCTGACAGCAATCTGGATTAAGATTAGGATTCTATTGTTTCAGCGCGTTTAAATGAGTTTAAATTCACGCAGTGGTAGATGATTGGTAGAGCACTGGTAGGAGGATGGTAGAAAACGGTGGCAAAATGTCCGCAGATCTTCGGTGAAGTCGGAAGTGAGTTGAAAGTCATTTATCACCTTTTTGGTTTCCTACGGGGTTAGTGGTACCTAATATGGTGTAGCGTAAGGGCACCACATTTCAACGACTCGGGGTCCCTATTCCAGAGGGGAAAGCTCAGTCAGCGAAAAAAAAATGCGATAAACATTGCTCTTTGTACAAATCGTAGAGGATTTTCGGTTCATGGCCACGGATATCGGTGGCATTGATGCGGATGAACTTTCAATGAGAGGATCGTCTTTGGAAAAATGGCGGGTACAAATGAAGAATTCGCAAACGAGCCAGTATTAGTTGCTGGAAAGCTGGAAGTACATTGCTGTTTTGNTTGCTCTTTGTACAAATCGTAGAGGATTTTCGGTTCATGGCCACGGATATCGGTGGCATTGATGCGGATGAACTTTCAATGAGAGGATCGTCTTTGAAAAAATGGCGGGTACAAATGAAAAATTCGCAAACGAGCCAGTATTAGTTGCTGGAAAGCTGGAAGTACATTGCTGTTTTGAAACCGGCAGGTGATAAAGTAATAAGAAAATGTTGGAAGCTTTGTTCTGAACGCTCTAGAAGGTCAACTTATCAATTCTGAGTGAGAGCAACCAAGCTTCCCTCAGGTGCACTAGTGACATTAGTCTGGGTGTGACAGCGCCATACCATCATTGAACTGACATACCTCGGTCTCTGGACAGTCTCGTAATGGACGTCGACGTTACGGTTATCGGACAGGAGATACGCATTCCGGTGGCGGCTGGGCCTAGGTTAGACAAAGGGATTGACATAGGTAAAGTCAGACCGATGTAGAGTCACGGGCAGTTTTGCTTCTGTTTGAGGACCATGTGGGTGTAGGACGGGAACCTGACAGATCAAATGAATAACGGATATGCGGGGCGTTTTGAGCAACTGCAGCCGAAGGTTGAAGCTCGGGAAAATGGCGATGGAGGATGAAACAGGATGAAATTAGGAACATTTGGTGGATAAGATAAAACGACACCAATGGAAAAATCTTAAATGGGTGATAACTGGCCACGAAAGCGTAGGTTTTTGTTGGCTAACCGAGCATCCAAGGACTGGCTGAGGTTGACGATATATTATGATGGCGCAACAAACCATTATCGCTCCACGTCAAAGCCCAGTTCGTCAGCCAAACAGAACACACCCACCTACATACTGCTCCCTCCAATCAATGCAAAGTATCCTTTCTGTCCACCCCTCAAACTCATCAGGCTTTACTGATCTTAACTCATTCCCTCGTCTCCTGAAGCTTTGACATTCGCCAATACCTGATTCGGACGCACTGCTTGGCTTTTATCCACGACAGCTGGTCTGTGATTTACATCCAGAAAAGATCCCCGACCGGAACAAAAAACCCGACATGTTACTCCGGCTTCGTTTTATCTCTGGGGATTCTTTTGGCAAACCCAAAACCTTCTGCTGCTCACGGAGTTGCACATCATATCACAATAATCTCAAATATGACGTCCGTTACAGAGCTGTCCAGAAACCGATGTATGTCAGTGCATTTTTACGGCACTGTGCTCCAGTAACCAGTTTGCTAGCTCAATCACAAATACTTCCTACTCCTGACCGTATCCTCTTGCCCACTCACTCCATTAACTGCAGGTGCGAACAGACACTTTACCCGACCCCAGCCTCCTCCGGGAGGCACTAATTATAATTCGCTGACTTTCATTGTGTGCCCCTTACATGGTCAATTATTTTCCGCGCACTTCGAGTTCGGTCTTGTGCGTCTATAAAACCCTCTTTTCTCAAGGAAATTTCATACCCGGCTCCATTACACCAGCGATACTAGTGAGTCCGTACAGTTTCACTGTACACTGTGACTTTGAGATGCCTAATTATTTCCACACGTTTTGCTTATTACGCTTCTTGACCACACCACCTACGATTCTTTGACCCTGGCCATAAGCCTGACAGTCCAAAGCCACGAGGCTCCATCGATGGATTCAAGCTTTAGTTCAAATTGGCCGGCTGGATCACGCCAAATCTGCTGCTTCACCGGACCTATTGTCCTGGTTCCTCAGTTCTTGAAATGTAAATTTTTTCATTATGTGCCAAGAAAGATGCCTGTTATTTTACCCCACTCCATCCTGTTTTTGCCCACCAACTTCAAATCCAAACGATCTGATTCGCCCCGGCTGCCGCGCCCTCGACACACAATGCATTTTTCTGCAAAAGCCTGTGGGTGAAATAAAAAATTTCACGTCAAAATATCGCACTTCTGGGCATATGTGCTCAGTAAAAAATCACCCTCATCTGCCGTCACTTTTTTGAGATTTGCTTTAATCGATAACTTTTGAAAATTATCATCGAACCTTCGACTTCGAACTTAGTGTGCTATGGCCGTGGAAGTGGCTTCACAATCGTTCGTTGAGAAATTTGTGGGTGTGTCGTTTTCATCCTTCACCGCATTTGAGAAGGCCTTAAGCAAATACATGAGGGATACCTTTGTGGTATTTTTGCGTTCATTCAGTAATCGAAGCACTAACACTGTTTCGCGTTACGAATTGGTGTAATACAAATGCAGCAGGCACCTTCCAAGACCAACAGAAAGCCGGGGAATCTGAAGAAGCTAGTAAGCCGGGCGTATTTACCAATAAAAAAGTACGCGAATCACCAGTTGTCCAGTGCGGTTTGGTTTACGAAGGCAAAAAAACAACTCGCAGTAACCTCGTATTTTCTCGAGCACAACCACAAGTTATCAAATTTTCTGCACGACCGGCTTCCAGTGAATCGACGGCTAACCGAAGACGATTCAGGCACCTGCAAGACCCTTATGAAATACGGAACACCTCATATGAGGTGCGGCAGTTTTTGGCGGACGAAATCGGCAAGATTCCGACCACTCAGGATGTATACAACTACCGCCGGAAGTTTCGACCGGCTATGTTGATAGGCGCCGACGAAATCGGCAAGATTCCGACCACTCAGGATGTATACAACTACCGCCGGAAGTTTCGACCAGCTATGTTGATAGGCGCCGCATAGTTGCGTTTTAATGTGGTAGATGGTATGCCTTCGGTCCTGGCAAAACTTCGGGAGACCGGACGCGTCCTTGTGTGCCAGTCAGAGGAAGGCTACTCTAACCGGCGCTTTCCAGATGTAGCGGAACGCATGCAACAACCCGCCTTGGGTAAGTTTTTTAAACACCTAATATTCGGCATGTCGATATAACCTTCACACCTTCTTGATAACGGACGGCATGGGAACCGGGCGTCCAGTTATGTATGCATTCGTAGAGAGCGAGCGGTTTTCTCCCATGCATAAACTGTTCGGCTTGTTCAAGGAAATAATGGGTGAAACTTTTCCGGTTGAGACCTTTGTAATGGACAAGCTGGCTGCTCAAATGCGTGCAGCAAGAGCCGCGTTTGGCTGTGAGGTTATGCTTTGCTATTTTCATGTCTGCAAAGTTATCAGAAAGCACGTATGTATCATTTAATATCAATGTATTCTTTGGTCATAGACACATTCTGCAAACAGCCGGCACATATCTCACCGCACGACTAGCCTGGACAACTCTGTACAGTACAAGCACACAGATTCTGGCAAGACCTGCAGCTTCTGCGCCGCACTATTCCCCGAGTTCTTTCCTATCTCACGTCTCGCCGGGTGTACATCACCCACAAATGGGCCATACACGCACAGTCCGGAATGGTTCACTTCGGTAATGTGACCAACAACCGATTGGAGAATCCGAGCGGCCGCCTTAAAACCGGGTGCACCACTCCTACAAGTTGGACCAAGTATCTTTACCAGTTTCTCGGCCGCCCACCTTATGGTGATATTTCGATCACCTGGGTTATATCTTCCTCTTATTTCAGGACTTCAACGGCCAGATAAACACTCCTCACGAAGAAGAAAATGCGTCTCCCTGAAGGACGTATGTAAACTTCAAAACGACCAATATATCTCAACATTTCAAGACGTCCATTTTAGCCTTGTCTCCTTTACAGATGGACGGGTGCGCATCGTGTACACTTAGGTTCGTTCAGCTGTCCGGTGTAATCGAAATAGGTTCTATGTGGCTAGTCAGTGAGACATCGTTTACCCCTAGCTGCATGTTGGTCGTGTGCGTTGGTTAGGTTCGTTCAGCAGCCCGGTATGATCGACGCAGGTTGCATGTTCCTAATCGATAAACCTCGAGGTGTTCCTAGCATAAATCACAACCTTTATTAGAAAAGTCTGCTTTTTGCCACCAAACGTGCACGACTTTTACCAAATAGTTAAGGTGGACTAGGGAATTTTATCTGCAACAAAATCATCGACCAAAATTTGTTTGCACAAATGCACCTACACATATTTTGCATCTCCAAAAGCCATTTAGATTCTAGAATGTTAAGGGATATTTTTCCGTTGGAAAACTACCTGAAAGTTACGTTTATTGTGAGTCAACGTTTTCCATAATTCGCGATTTCTTATCATCAGACAACGTATTCACAGTCGGTGGTGTTTATTGACCTTGAGCATTCGCTCACTTAAAATATCTGGTAGCTGGAGTTATTTACGAATGCACAAGCCGCACTTATGACTGCTTGGATGGTTTTCCACCTTGCAGATCTGGCAGCATGCACGAGGGATGAAAACCTCGTGTGGTGGACGGGTACGCCCTGCAGGGAGGGTCGCCCTGTTACGTTGCACCATGGTGCGTTCGTATACTCGCCACCCCTCCAGTAGCACGGGTGTATCGCCCATCGCCGGTGGTTCTGAGTCTGGCCTTTAATTCAGGAAAAAAAAAAAAGAGCAACGTTGCTGTTTGTCTGTAGCTGGATTGGCCTTGTTCCGGTTGTCACTTGTCCCACAACACCAAGAAATACAAGCGGACGACAGCTGTCCTCCCGTTTGTTCTAAAAAAAAGAATATAAAAAAAAAACATTCATGCATGGGGTGGCCTGAGAGTGCCTGTGAGGCTTACGGCTAACGTCAACGTGCAAGGTGTTGCCACTCTCGTCTTAGTGGGGTCACACCAACCCTAGCCCACTTCATCACTCAAACATAGCACACATGTTCTTCCCTCTTGTCATCTAGAGCTATCATATGCGCAAAGTGCTAATAACCTATGATTTCTTGATTACAAGCAGTCACAGCTAGCACTTAATGGCTTTTTTGCCATGCACCATTCGTTTTCTGGAGATGACAGCATTGACTCGGTGACTGATGATCCTTAATCTTACTTTCCTGTTAGATTGATTTAGTAGACCTCAGTTAAGCTACGATTCTTACCACTTATCTCGGAAACTGTTGCCCGTCCGCTTTTCACTTGTCCACTGTCACTGCTGACAGTCATTCTGTTTCTTTCTCTTCGCCCCTCTTCCCAAGCTTCAGTCCTCGACCGCAGTTGCCCAAACGCCTCTCAGAACTGTTATTCATTCATTATCTTCAATAATACAGTTCCATATACACTATACATAGACATTCTACACTATGAAGTGGCCGGAACATGCCGTAGATTTTGAGAAATCAACCCTATTGTGCGACAAGCCAGCGGCCTCTGGCTTGATACGTCACCCAAAAGGAAGATTACTTCCCGGTAACTCTGCTTACCCTCCCATGCCGGTTTAGCCATGGCCTGGTTCACGTCAGGTGATGCTCAATTTTATGTCACCGTTTTATTCTCGCAATCTCTAGTGCCCGCTAAACTCACCAGTTTTGATTTTGTTCTGAGTATAAAAGTAGGATCATGCCTGACGGCATTATACTCATTAGGTGAGAGCATTTACGTTGTTAGCTGCGTGGATGCTCTTGGTTAACCCGAAGTCATGCTGCTCACAGAATGGCGCATTTACATTTCGGCCATGTTCAGCATGATGTTGTCAACGGGGCTGTCCAGAAACCGAAGGAGTTTAGTGCAATGATCTCGCAGCACTGTCATACTTTGTCTAATGGCACATCCTTCCGTCCTCCGGGTATTCTTCTCTCGTTCTCCCTAAACTTTAGCTGCAATTATCGACAAATAACCTGGCTAGCCCCAAGGGCATTTCAGATGAGTTTGTTCAAGTGCATTCAGACCAGTCTCCGGACTTAATCATCTTAGTGCATTCTCGGTTTTCCTTTATAAATCAAGGTCTTCTTGACAACCGGCGTCTGTTCATATGCATTAGCGTTACTTCACTTTCACAAGGAAGTTTTTACGTTACACTTTGCTCCACGTTTGGCTTCATTGAGTCTATAAATTTTCAGTCAACACGATAATCCCTAGCTTCAAGCGTCTATATATCTACAATGCGAAATTCTTCAATTCATCACCCCTACTTTTGCTTTTGGTGACCATGGTCATAACCTCAGCCTTCCAAGGTCATGCGGTTCCAGCGTTCTCCTCGAAAATGGTTCAGATTTGCCGGCCAGGCCACTGAAATATTGCTGCTTCTCCTACCGAGCACAAACCATTGTTAGCCAAATTCGGATACAGGAAGATCATAGCTGTGTATGCAGCTAATCTACTTCAAAGATAGGCTACGATGTTACGCGGTGACAGATACAGTATCAAGTTTAAACTGACTGACATGATTCGACGGGCAAAAGCATCATAAAGACTTTAGAATACCAGACATGAAAGACACGGTTGTACCTCATACATCGAGCGAACCAGAAAAAAGATGTACGCTTGTGGTAGCTATCAAACACGGTTATCAATCGCATTCACGATTATGCGCAAGGAGGAAACTGAGTAAAGTAAACTGAAACCACCTGTATAAGTGGCTACAAAATTTAAATCCCAAATACTTGCTTCATTTTCATCAAAGACGACTGACACTTTCCTCCGTTGAGGATCGCCTGTTGTTCATAGAATGTGTAGTTGGACCAGAGCAGCCGCATATACTTGTTTCAAGACAGTTTCATAAAGGGATTATCAAAATCGATCTAATTAACTCGTTGATCAAAAGATTTCTTTGCTCTCATACTGATAGCCGAGTCAAAACCTCTTGAGATCTTGTCACGAATTTGAGTTGGCTTCAAGGTTTCATAGAAAATTCGAACTAGGTTATCGGTGGGGACCAACAAAAGGCGCCGTCGAACTTACATGTCAACGATGCAGGTCTCACGAAAGGTGATATCTCCATCATCATCGTTGGCACGTAGGGCATTTGGCTAGAAATTTCTCCCATAGGGACAATAAATACCCACAGTAAACATTAGCTAGTTGAATCAGGTCTTCTCTGGTTTTAATTACCCGAAAAAGCTGGTGTTTGGAAACACAACTCAGTTTAGACATTCCTAATCAGCGAAATTCAGCCTTGACAGTGAACACAAACACGCCAGAATATGTTCAGAGCGATCCGAAAAACACGTAAGGGTACGTATTTACTCCGTGCACCCAGCCGAACATATCCGCCCTGTGACTGATGGACAAACAAACTGAGTCATGTCTCTAGGCATCATAGAGACAGTTCTTTTATGTAGTACTGTACAAACTCGCGCAATTACTAGCCACCGGACATTCTTCCGATCCACCACTTGGGTCACCGTTCACAGATTCACGAACTGATACACAAGATCGAGGATTTTGCCAAAGTTTCCTAGGTCGCCTTTGTTCTTGTCGGTCGGTGGCTGTGGTTCATTTGAAAGGTACAAGTGAAAAAAGGGTGTAGCACTACTCTTTATATCCTCAGCGCAAAGCAATATGCTTGCCAGTGCGAGGATTTGCATAAATAAGCGCATAACAGTGCTTTAAAATGGGTTCTAGAAGGAGCGTGTACAACCGTCGGAGGAAGTTTTGTCTAATGAACGTTCAATGAACGCTCAATGAGGGTAACGTCTTTCGTACGTCCTGAGTAGACAACTTGGTTGGCGTACTCCAGGAGCGGTCTGACGTAGGCACCATAGGGTATCTGGAAGTCCTTGCGAGTAATGTGGGAGAAGGTGCGTCGGATCATCCGTAAAA